ATTCAAACAGCATTACATGCCAAATGTGTGTCTCGTTGTGTGCCATCACTACAAGGGATTAGAGTATACTAAGCTTTACACATTATATAGGCTACACTAAAGTGACATTTAGGTGGTTCGTTTAATTAATATACGTGATGTATGTTTTTTTGGGGGGTGGTTAATGAAAGTGTTCCAAAACAAGACATTTATTTCTTGATGATTTAATACTTGTCAATTATGTCTCATTCAAGTGTCAGCTACATCTATTTCTGACAGTGAGAGCTCTCAAACTCTAGAGAAGTGGTGTTACTTGTCTACTTTGATTTCAAAGATTATTTGAATATTGTATAACATTTTATACAATTATTTCAGCTATGGCAGTTACTATTTTCACATATTACACCCCAGAATACCACAATATCAGCACTAATTTAGAAGAACGTAGAAGAGCACATTCTTTTTTTAATGATAATTGCACTTGCTTAAAGTTGAATCAGAATACCAACCAAGCTACTTTATGCTTATTATTATTTTTAGGGAAGGTTACCCATTAGATGGATGGCTCCAGAATCATTGTTTGATAACATTTTCACTACCAAAACAGATGTCTGGTCTTTTGGAATCTTGATGTGGGAAATTGTAACATTAGGTAAGTTAACCTTCAAAAACTTGAACTGCATACATAACCTAGTTAGAATATTTATGGGAAGTCCAATGTGAGAAACTAATGTCATTTTATATGAATATCTTAATTACTAGCAAAAATGTTTCAAAATTAGATGTCTATGAGAAGTTTTAATTAGATTAAAAGAGCACCAAGACATGATATTTCTTATCTATGTAATGATACAACTTTTTAATAACAAAAACATCAAAATTTGAACTAGATTAGTTTGCTTAAAAATTTACTTGCAATAAACTTTTATATCATTAAAATCAACACTAGAATCTAAGGTATGCAATTTGATTTCAGATAACATGTTGCACTTTATAATCACTAACTCAAAAGGAGAAGAAATGTAATTTGTACTTTTGATTACACTGGTTTTTGCACTACTTTTTAACTGCTCATAACCATACTAGCAATAGACTAGCAGTAATTCTAGCTAGTCTCGATGTATTATTAACAAAAAGCTTTCAATATTTGTTTTTATATGCATTTTATTCATTTAAGGTTCAACACCATACCCTGGCATGTCAGCACAGGAAGTGATGCAACAGGTGCGTGGGGGTTACCGACTCGATAAGCCAAGCCACTGCAAGCGTGAAATGTACAATGCTATGTATTATTGTTGGAGTAAAGACCCACAAGAGAGGCCTTCCTTTACGGAGCTGACTGTTATATTAGACAGACTGCTTATTGATGAGCATGAATACATAGAATTAGACAGATTTCCTGAACATACTTACTATAATATCACTAATCTTTCAGGAGAAAAACTGTGAGCCTTTCTATTGCAGTTGAACAGTTATCAAAAATTTTGTTTTCATGACTAGTGTCAGAATTAAGACATTACTGAAATAACTTACCAGCACTGCAGTTTTGAAAGTGCTCACACTAACTAAGGTGTACAAGTGTTCTGACCACTCTGTTAAGAAACCTTTTTGTACTCCTTAACATACTGTTATTTGCTGCCAAGAAGAAAACTGCATACAGTTTTGTAATATGTTTTGTTGAAGACTGTTAAATTGGTTATAATGCCTAGTGAAATGGTGATTAGACATTTTGATTCACTTCTGTTGTATCTTCATTATGATCTGATAAATACAGATGGAAGTGGCTCCAAATATTTAATCACTAGAGGTAGATTGTCCATATTTGGAACTCTGTGTGTTGCATGTTAGTTAAACCTTTTTTTCAAACATGTTCTATAATTTAATGTTACATCAAATTATGAACTTTTCAGCCTTAGATTTTCAAGAAAAGTTGTGTAAAATTAGTTTGTAATCATCTTTAAAACATTCTTCTCGTCAAGGCTCTGTACTTATTGCAATTAATCTGTCATAAATACTTTATTACTGGGAATAAAGAAACTAATACTTCTATCAGTATAAGTTTATAATTCTGGAAAAATAATAACAACTAAATAGAAGTTTTGAGGTTAAAATAATGAAGTGGTCATAGCTGACTTTAAGTTACTTCCTTGACTAACTCTATAAATAATTGGAACAAATTATGAAATGTTTTACCTGATAAATCATTAAAAAATAATAAAATATTTCTACTTTTTAAAGTCTGTTATCATATCATGGGAGAAAAAGTGTTAGGATTCATAACAACAGTACAAATTAGTTACCATAAACTCCAATAACCCTTAACATTATCTTAAATATTATACTATTCATTCCTTAAAAAAAAAACAGTGTGCTCATTCCAAGGCATTTTTAAAGCAAGACAAACAGATATATTTGACCCAACTTGGGCAGGATTTTTGCATTCAGCATCTAGGTATTGTGCCTATATTGAAATACTGATAAAACTAGTTTTATTTTATTATAAAACAGCCAAATTACACATTTTTCAAACTTTTGGCAAAAAGACAGTGAAGTTTATATACATTAACACAAATAGTAAAAAATTATGAGATTTAGAAAACACACAAAGAAGACATTTCTACTTTGTTCTAAGAAAATATCCATTTTTTTTCTTGTCTGTAAGTTAATCTTGTCGTACAACAAATGTGAGTGATACGAGGTTCGGGTAGACACTCTACTTACTAGATGAAATTATTTTCATTCTGTGTTCTTATAAGTTACAGCAGTATCAACTTTATGGATTGATGTTGAAAAACTCCTTAACTGTACCTCTTCACTGTCAGGTATTAGATATGGTGGACTCTCTGCCCACTCATTTGGGACTTCAGCTTCTTTTCCCATAAAAATAAGAAGATCAAAGGCACCTATTACATTAAAAATAAAGTATTTTAAATTATGTTGCACACTCTTAGTAAAATTTACTTTCAAGAATTAAGATACTTTTCTTCTACTATCCATTTTGATTCTTTAATAAAAACTTTGCTCCATTTTTCATTATTTTCAATTATGTTAATTTCGTAAATCTTTTCAATACAAGTATCAAAATACAATATTTTGACAGTACATTATGATGGCAATCACTGTATGTCCAAGCAGATGTGAAATGATAGTATACAATTGTTATTAAAGAAGTATTTTAGTATATTATGTATAAATAATATATACATGTTCTTTTTTTTTTTTTTGGATAGGAGATATTAAATATAAAATTTTCAGAACAATGGTAAACTACTAAAATATAATTTTTCAAAATATATAATGTAGAAAATGTTAATTCTAATGGTGAGCTAATAAAAAGAAGAAATGCCAAAATTTAATATTTAATTTAGTTTCTAGGTTCTACTAGCAGAGAATGACTGTTGCTTATTTGCCATTCTGTACAAATAAGAGTTGTACAAAACATATTAGCTTAGGCATCAATATGACTGGTATTCTATCTCATGATAGCTATTACACAGCATAAGTAAACAACTTTCAACATAAAATTTATTATCTATGCTCATGTGTGTGTGTGCGCTTGTGTCTGACTTCACAATGAGCCTACAATGATAAAATCTCATTAAATATAGTAGAGTTTTGATTGTTCCTTCCTCAATCAAGCCAAAACACTGCCTAAACTACCCTTGAAACCACATCCCACTAAATTTGTAAAATACAAAAACTACTTTTGAAATAATTGATTTGTTTGTTGAATTTTGTGTAAAGCTACTTAATGGTCACATGCACTAGCCGTTTCTAATTTTTAAATGATGAGACTAAAGGGAAGGCAGCTAGTCAACACCACTCACTGGCAACTCTATACAAACATACAGTTCAATTGCCTGTTACATTATAACACCCCCATGGCTGGTGACAATTTCTGGTAATGGGTGTCTATCCCACAACCTCCAGATTGCAAATCTAGCACCCAAAACAGCAGGTTACATAATTATGGAAATAGATAATTGATGTGGCAAAGGATTTACACCCACCAAACATTCTAAATATTAAATAAAACAATAAGCTTTATATTAGATTAACACAATCAACACACACCTACTTCCTTTGTTCTATAAAGATCAAAGATAAATAAATCTGGTATGCTAATAAAACTATGAAAAATACAAATAACATAAACAAAAGTAATACAGATAGTGGACAAAAAATGGAAACATCTGGGTAAATGAAGGACAACAAGTATATGCAATGCAGAGGCAACCATACAAGTGTGGCTCGTCCATTAACTAAGCAAATAGCATGCAAAGTCATGTATAAAAATGCTGGACAGGCCCATAATCATGGCTGCAAGAGGAGACCTCAGTGACTCTGAAAGAGGGGTGATTGTTGAAGCACATTTGACGGGAGCTTCAGTGACCAAGGCAGGTCAACTTCCTGATGTTTCACAAGCAATGGTGTCTAAGATGATGTCAGCATGAAACACAGAGAGTAAAGGGCAACAGTGGGCATATATGCATACCCCAGGATCATGATGTTCGAGCATTAATTTGAACTGCAAGGCAAAACAGGCGAGCAACCACAGATCAAATCACCACAAATTTCGAAAACAGTCTGCCGAGAACTCCACAGAATGGGATACAATAAGTTGGGTTGCAGTGAAGAATTCAATCAGCACATCTAGCAGTGCATGGTTCTACATCCAGCAGTGAAGAAATGTGATATGATCAGATGAATTATCCTTTGCCATGTTCTCTACAAATGGATGAGTGCACATGAAAGAACAGTACAGCCCTGAGTACTTGGTTCCAACAGTGAAAGGTTTTGGTGGTTCTTTAATGGTGTGGGGTGCATTTTCCTGGCATGGTTTTGGTGCATTCATATCCTTAGAAGGCAAGGTCGATGCCAATCCTTGCTTAATGGTACTGAGTGATCATCTTCACCCTATGTCACAGCATTTCTGTCCTGCAGAGAGGGGAGTCTTCCAAAATGATACTGCCACTGTCCACAGAGCATGAGTAGTCGCCCAATGGTTTGAGGAGCATGACACTGATGTTATCCATATGTCACAGCCTGCTCGATCACCAGATCTGAACTCAATCCAGTATGAATGTTATATTCTGGAATGACACACAAGACAGTATTTTCCTCTTCTAGGCACGAGTTGATTGGGTTTCTTGTGGAAGAGTGGTGTCGTATTCCTCCTCCAGAATTCCAGACACTGGTAGACTCTATGCCACTGCGAATACTGGCTGCACATGATGGTCCAACACCCTATTAAGTGACTTTACATTGGTGTTTCCATTTTTTGGCCACTACCTGTATGATAAGATGAATATGTCTGAACAAACTGTGGGAAACTATAACAACCATACGATACATGAGAGTTTTTGGTATTTTTACCAGACACTGGAAGGTAAACCAAATGTCATATTAGATTCACTCATTCTGTAATTTTTCATCGCTATGGTTTGATAATGATCTAAGTTTTTAAGCTTTAAGCTAAAAGAGCTTCAGTTCATGCAATTTTTTTTACTAATTTAAATAACTTAAAAAAAACTATTAATCCTGCATTTGTCTTCACAGACTCCAAATATTTTGTAAAGATCGGTGCCAACAAATGGAAGTATGTACATGCTTGTTGTTCTCAGTAGCTTCAGTATTCAGCTAGTTTACATTAAAGTGTTACACTTAACTTAGGTGGTAAAAAAGAAATAAGTTGTAATATTTAATGATAATTTATTGATTAATATAGGAAACGACTTTGAGTGTTTATGTTTCTTTGTTTCCAAATAATGGTTTATTATTTAAATACTTTTAAATTATTATTTTTATGATGGAGTTTGCTCAGACCCTGGAAGAGTGGCTGTGGAAATAGTTTACAGAATACTAACACAGGGTTAAGTTTCAGAATCTATGTAACTTACTACTGATGAAAAACAAATGCAACAGAACAATTTTATTTTGTAGCTCAGTATTTCTCAACTTATTTAATACCCCCCTCCCATGCATACTTTAAGATATGGTCCTGTTATGTCGAAACTTTGTAGAGGGGTTAATTTTTCCTTTAAGTTCATAACTTAAAAGCAACAAAATCACTTTGGACAAGGTAAAATCATAATGTTAATTTAGGTGTAAATACAAATGGAAGTTAGGTTTAGGAAAATAAGTTTTGAAAATTGTATATATTTGCATTCAAACTGTTGAAAATAACTCAACAATGTATATAGGACCTTAATATTAAATCCTAAATTGGTAGTTATCACTGTGAAAGTGCTGGTGAGGTCCCAGAACTTTAGGATCCTTGAAAGTGATATTTGAAGTAATATAATTCATATCAACCTGTTAGATATGAGAATGCATAAGAAGTACATGCCAACTTTTGTAAATGAAATTACCTTTAGTTTAATGAGGTCTCACAGGAAAGAAGTGTCAGAAGAATATATTTAATTATTAGCACTGGCAGCACAATACAGTTGTTAAAACCACATAAAGAGTGTTCATTGAGATTTTAATATTTATATCCTACATGAGCATCAGTAAAACTTTAAACAAAGCATGTACATCCTTACGTCTTAAGCATCCAAAATATAAACAAATTACTTAAAAATAAACAAATTTCATAGCACAGTTGTTGACTTTTTCTTATTTCAGTTAAATAGGATAAGAAACGGTCTTTAAAATCACAGTTTAAACTGAACATAAAAAAGCTTAATTAATCACTCACAGATTTTAGACTTATTAGAAATTGACATATTTTGCAATTTACTAATTAAAACTTCATTAACTTTCACACCATATTACAAGTGCTAGTATCTACTGTATGTGACCATAAGTAACTTATCAGAATTATTCTGAACTATTAGGTCCTCCAAACGTACATGTAGAAACTGCCCCATAGGTATGAATGATCAAGAGTTCAGGAAACACTTTTGTCTATTACCTTTTCGAAAACCCCAAAAAAATTTATGCATGTGTTTCTGGATGGAAACCAAAACTGCATGTTACCAATTAGGTCATTTTAAAACATCACCGATTTGCTCTTATGTTTCAGTATACACTGTATTACTTAAATTTATGGAATATAAAAATGTTAATCTCAAACTAAATTTTCATGCCAAGTGACATACATTGATAATAAAGTTGTTTAATTAATATTTGGAATGTAACATTGTAAAAATTCATGACATGCACACATTGACCCAACCAAAGAAGGTCATAACAAAGGAGATGGTTTAAGTATGGGCAATCCGGTTTCGCCCATTCTTGCCAATATAATCATGACCCAGATCGAAACACAAGCCATACATTCTGCGCTTCATCTCCCACTATACTGGTACAGATATGTCAATGACACTTTTGCTGGTTTCACTTCTACAGAACACACACTAACTTTCTTTAAACACATAAATTCCATTCATCCCAACATCAAATTTACCATAGAACATGAAAACAATAAACAGTTATCCTTTCTTAACCTCAAAATTATTAGATCTGACACACAGTTTAAAACAAAAATTCACTGCAAAAACACACACACTGGTCTCTACATCCCCTGGAATTCTGCTCATGACACCACACAAAAAATCAATACACTTAAAAAACTTCATAAACACAGCCACAAGACTCTGTTCAACGGACTACATAAATGACGAAATTAATCACTTAAAGCATTCCTTTATTCACACCAATAAATTCCCACCAGCTATAGTTGAAAAGCTCTCCAACATTCCCCACAATAAAACTCAACTCACGAACAAAATTGACACTAACAAATCCAAAAACAGTACATTACACTGCAGTTTACCTTTTATTCCTGAAACCAGCTCAAGAATTATCCACACTTGGACTAAACTAGCCAGTAAACACAATATTCCTGTCAAAGTCAAATTCTCACAAAACCCCGTTACTAAGCAAAAATTATTTAGAA